AGGCTTTCTACTCTTTAGATGACAGTAATTTGAAAAAACACTACAGTCATTGCAAAGTATTACTGTGATGCTACAGATTGCATGAAGACATGTTGTTCACAGAAATATTGCCCTAAGCTTCTTATTCAGCTAAATGAATGGATTTAACTGAGAAGAAAAAGGGAAAACTGCTGTCTGCAGAGCTAAAAGAAGCAGTTATAATTGAAGCTCAGCAGAGGGGTTTTTATTGTGTATAAAAGGTTTAACCTAATTGTTAAGGTCAGATATAGTTCAGAATTTATTCTATGATGTTAGTAGATAGCTTTTAGGTAGTTCCTATACAAACTATAAAGCAGTCAGGGTAAAATACTGCCAAGGCTTTACTGTGTCATGCTGTAGCTTGAGACATTCCATAATACTAAACCAAGATATCTGTGTTTGCCACTGGTAAAGACAAAACACAACACAATAAAATGGATGTCAAGGTCTGAAAACAGTGTCTGTGTGATGCATTCCCACACTGAATATCTAAACGCTGATGTAAAACACGCTCAACTTTTGAAGAATTCATCTCTGCTTTTGGGAAGGTGCATACAGATTGCTGTATAGCAGTTCAGATTTCTATTTAAATATAAATGAAAGTTACTTACTGTACTATTTTCAGCCTTACCTTTTTTCGTTGTTGTTTTTTTTTCAAATTAGTTTGACTTTCCATTCTTATTTTTTTGCTATGGTATGAGAGGTAATGTATGTGAGTAAAGTGCTTAAGAAGTGTGTTCTGGCTTCAGAAGGGAAGTCATCATCACTACCATTTCCTTTGTGCAAGAAAGTATGTCTTAAATGAGCTGCACAGAACAGGGGAGAAGGTGGCACACAGTACGTGTGGTTTGAAGATGAGTCTTTTATCGATTACACATTACCTTGGGTAACATCTAGATCTGCATTTGGCATCTAAAAGTTAAAAATAACCATCAACCAATAATATCTTTTTTTTTTCATTTGTAATATGTGCATTAAAAAGATTCAAGAAAACGGTGTAGATAAATTGTTCTTTGAGTTTTTCTTTTCAGAAAACAAAATGGGGTAAAGTTATTGTTTCTTGATAAAATCCGTCCATCCCATTTTCTTCCAATTCAGGGTTGTGAGGGAGCCTGAATCAATAGGCACAAGACAGGATACACCCTGGATGGGATACCAGTCCATTTTGGGGCACACACACTCACACCAGAGCTAATTTTCCCAAAAGCCACGTGAATTCCACATGAACACAAGGAGAACATACAAACTCCGTGCAGATTGCACCCCAGGTCCGGAATTGAACCCAGGGCTCCAGTACTGTGAGGCAGCAATGCTAACCACTGCACTATCATGCTACGATCTGCCTCTTAAATAAATTGTATGCACAATCCCTACCCCCATTACATCTCTTCATAAAGGTGTAGCTCTTTTTTTCTTCTTTGTTCTGGTACTGAATACATACCAAGCGGTAGTTGGGACATTCTTTTTTATAACTGAAATTACTCTATGAGTCTGGACATGCTTACATGCTTACATAACAAAGGACTTTTTATAAAGATCTGAAGACCAAAGAAGTTTTTAAGTGGGGGAACTGTTCAAAACTGTTTTTTAATGTAAAACCCCTCACATCGAATTATATGAGTTGATTGTATATAGGGCACTTAATATTTGTTGAAATGCTCTACCTAATTGATGTCAATGAGGAAAATCCTTTTGAAATACAGCACAGTAACATTTGCTATCACAACTTTACCTTTTCTTAGTCTTTTGCCTTGTAATATATAGTATATTTGTTTCATAACTTAATTATTGTATTAAGATACTATGACATATAATAACCTCAACATGTATTAAGTCTCAAAAATGTTTTGGATCAAAAATCATTTGCATGCCTGCTTTTTATCTAAAGAGTTTTAACAGGTAAGGTACAAAACTGTGGCTTTTGATATAAAAATGCTGATAAATTTAGTGGGGAAAAACTGCATTTTGTTTGAAAGCACAGGAATAATACAAACTAGCATGACTCAAGAATGTCACAGTTCAGTCAATTACAGATGCCACTTGGCAGCACATGGAAAGCAAACTGTACCTGCACAGAATCTAAATGATATGTGTGTTGCGTTTTTTCTTTGCTATTTGACTTGTATCGCTGAGAATGTCCCTTTATCAATTCCGGCTTTTAGTGTGAATTGAGTGGAATCACATTCTCATTTGTGTTTGGCCTTTGCTATTTTCATTTTGCCTTTTGTCTAGACTGTTGTAAGTAGTTCTGGCCAAGAATATTAAATCCTTATCAGCTCAGAACAGTGCCATGTCTATAAAAGCATTGTAAATTCTAAATTCTAAATTGAATGCTAAATATACTGTAAACATATCTATGGACATCCTGAAAAACCTGATATTTAACTATAAAGGTCAAAATAATGTTCTGCATTCTTGCTGCATTGTCTGTTCTTTGTGTTAACTAGTAATATTTGGAACTGTGACCTTCGTTTGAGTGTAAAGCATGGAATACTAGGAGTCTTGTACACCAATAATTGAAGAATATGATTTTTTGTTTGTGATCCCACTTGAAAAGTGCTAAACTGTAGAAAATTGTACACTATTTAGCACTGAAAGTTATTATTTTATAATATGGGTTTGTTTCTGGGGCTTGTGGGTTTCTTTATTTGGTGGGTTTAAATTTTAAAAAGATGTCAATATAATTAGATTTAAAAGATTTTTCAACAAAGATTCTTAGAAGTCATTCAGGTGGGTAGCTGCATCAGCATGCGTAGGCTGCAAACGAACAAGTAAGAGGTTTATTCCATGCTGAAAAGAGAAGAAAGAAAACACAACATTTCGGCCGTGATGCCTTCTTCAAGTGTGCTCACAAAACAATGCCAGTGAGCACACCTGAAGAAGGCTCCACGGCCGAAACGTTGTGTTTTCTTTCTTCTCTCTTCAGCATGGAATAAACCTATTACTTGTTCCTTCTTAGAAATCAGTCTGATTTAAAAAAAATGACTACTGCCCGGAGCTCTTTGTATTCTTAATTCAAGCCGAATTTAGTAGTACTTTACTGGCATTGTTTTTTATACGTTGTTGTTGCTCCATGAAACATAAATAAATATCAAAGTCAAAACATTGATATAGTGTATTATTACCAGCTCCAGGGATAAATACCCGTTGGAAGATCTTGGGTGTTAGACGGCAGGTTTTAACATTGATTAATTATAGAGCAACAGCACGAATCAGCTTAATCTCTGCTACAGTGTGGTAGAGAAGACTGGGTAAAATTATTAGAGAGTAGTAGGGATTCATTCAGCTGTCACATTTTTATTTTATTACTTATTTTAAGTGCTGAAACTTCACACGTTTTTACATTGGCACCACACCATTTTGGTATAGTCCCTACATCATAAAAATACCAAATTAAGTGGCAAAGAGGCACTTGTTCTTTTAATGAGTAGTGACACCAGTTCTGGATGAGTGTTAAAGGGCCGCCTGATTTTCTTGCAACATTTATTTCATGTGTTTATTGTGTCTTGAGTTTCACTGTAGGTGAAAGTTACAACAGCATTCGCCCAAATATTGAGAAAAAATAATTGAAACTGCTCTGTCAGTTGTTGTTTAGACAGGTAATTGCTTTACCTGGTTTTAGTTTTTACCAATATGCCAGCATTTTGTGTTGAATAGAAAAATACAGCCAATGTGAATGTTTTCAGCTAGGAATAGGTGTCAGATAGATGGCATTTCCTTTTGGGGGACAATAAAATAAATTTAAGAGAGCTCAGTTTTGTCAAAACATGCAGTGGTTTTCTCAAAAAATATCATGATGTGTTAGTTGTATTTATTTTCAAGAGGGTTATGTGTAATGTTGGTAGACAAAGCTGTCAGACTATTTGGCTAGCACACATAATCCATTTCACAAAGCTAAATATGTTGGTAACTCTTTGAATAAATTATTACTCTGCGTAGGAACTCTGGGTCGCACAGTGGTTAGCATTTCTGCCCCACGGCGCTTGGGCCCTGGGTTCAATTCTGGACCTGGGGTACTGTCTGTGTGGAGTTTTTATGTTCTCCCTGTGTTCATGTGGGTTTCCTCTGGGTTCTCTGGTTTTCTGCCATAATCCGAAGATTTACTATTGTGTTAAATGGCCCTGAAGTTAGTATGTGTGTGTCTGCACTTATGTCGACCTGCCCTGTAATGGACTGGCATCCCATCCACGGTGCGCCCCACTTTGCACCCGTTGCTTGCTAGGAAAGGCTCCGGCTCACCTGTGACCCTGAATTGAAAGGCGGGGTTAGAAGATGGATGTATAAAGTCTTGAACAATAATAAAACACACAACCATAATCCATTCACTAGCAGTTTGGTTTCACATTTGAGTTGTGTAGTTCAGTTCACAGTTCACATTTCAGTTGTGTAGTTCAGTTCAGTGTTCACATCTGTTGAATTCCGTTTGATGTGAATTAACCTATAAGAGAACGTGGATCTTCCACTCCAGATGTGGGTGTGTGGGTGTTACAGCACAGAGCTTCATGTGAGTAGTTTTTGTAGTAATACTTGTTACCAATACGTGTTTGTAATACTAAGAAGCAATAAAACTGGGAAAAAAGCCTGCCTGAAAGCTGAAATGTCTCTTACTATAATACTGTCTAGTAGTATAGTCAAGAGTAAATTAACTCCAACACTGTTCAACGAATACTTCTAGATGCATTCTTTACTATTGTCTGAAGCCGGGAAGGACAAAGCATGTTTTGTCTTCCCGAGTTTAACATGCAGCAAACCTCCAGTGTAAGACTTTGGAGAGATTTGCATATAGCTAATGTGGTTGTAGCCTAGGCAGCTTTCACAGCTGTTTTCCAAGCAGCTGACACACTTGTGTGTGAAGCAGGCCAGTTGTGAAGAATAGAAACCTCTATTCCTAACACCAAATGGAGCAGAGGCTGGGATCTTGGGGAGTGGTAGAACAAGCTCAGTAATAAAGCTGGACGGCTGTTTTTTTTCTTCTTTTGCAGAGTGCACACTTAGCCATGATAGACACTCTGATGATGGCATATACGGTGGAGATGGTGAGCGTGGAGAAGGTTGTGGCATGTGTACAGCAGTATTCACCTTTTTTCCCCGACTCCGATATGCCCTACGATACTGAGGATGCTGTTACAAGCTGGATTAATAAGGTACTAAAAACACTCTGTCCTTGTTCCAGGAACCTTTTTTTCTGAAGGTAGTTTGAGTATAAATGTACCTATACAACTTGGAAACCCTTTTATTTCCATGCTGTATGGGTAAATTTAGAACTCTTTATTTCATTGATTTTTTTTTCAGTAAATATGAGTGCTAAAACGTTCTTGGAATACAGCTCCTTTTTTTTGCATTACAGGAATAACATCCATGGAAGTCTATTTTGGTTTGCTGGAGGAAATTCTTGAGCTTTTTGTGTTCTTTTAATACAAAATACAACTTACCTTAAATTCTTTAAAAGTATTATAGTATAAGTGTAGTATAATAGGTTATTAGGTTATGGAGCACAGAGGAAATGAAGGAATCGCAGAAAAAGCATTGGTTTACTAATTCACTGTATATACAGGAAAAATGCACTTCTGATACAGTATTAAAATGTTTTTTTGTGCTTACAAGGACTACAATATCAACTGTAATAATCTGAGTTAGATAATATGAAGAAGTATGTTTCAGACAGTTGTGACTGTCTGGAACAATTTACTTTTTGTTGTTCAAGGAGATACCCTTTAAATAAACCTTATTTTCTTATATGGGTTTATACTGTTTTTAATCAAGCTCTTTGGATCAGTTAGCTATTAGCGACCAAACAAGCTAAGTAGGCCAATGGCCTCTTATTGATTGTATCCAGTTCTTATGTATTATAGAGCATTTAGATATTTTTTTCAGATTGGCCTCCCTAAATATGTTGTCTTGGTTTTCTTTTTCCATAAACTGGAGTTATGGAAAACAAAGTGGCTTCTGTGATGAATTCATCATGTGAGTGTGTATATGAATTCAGTTAAGCGCATAATTTTATATCTGAAAATCAAGAAAATCTTCTTAAAAAACTGCATCACATTATTTTCTCATTTAAGTGCCAGTTTTTTTTTTCTCTGTGGCTCTAATAAGCTTCTGTGGGATACAGTTAAAGATATTTGTTTACTGGGAAAATAAAATCAGGTCAGAAGTATACAACATAATAAGACCATTTGGCCATTTTTTCTTATTTAGTGGGTAGCATCTTATATGCATGTACTTCCTTGTAATTTACATATGTTTTCTTATAAGGTAAATGAACACTTGAAAGACATAATCATTCAGGAGCAGAAGATGAGAGAATCCCAGTGTTCAGACATCGCTGGAGGTCCAAGGGTGAGTATAGTTCCTTAAAGTGTCTAACCCAGTCTTTAAAATGGAAATGAATGAACTTTTCATTCATTATTTCATTCATTATTTCTCTGTAATTTCAGCTGATATTAACATAGCACTAGAGTGTGTAGTCCTTTCAAAAGAGTGTTGATTTTATTGATGAAAAATTAAAACTCTCAGTACTATTGTATGCAATAGGTAAGAGCAATGAAAAGGCTTAGAGCTGATGCTTTTTGTTAGCATACCGACATCTTGATCTTTTTATTTTGCAAAAGGGATTTGATTATGCATGTATTTTCAGATGATTCCATGAAAAACTGAAAAAAAACCTGCTAGTTCACATTCGTAAGTGTTAAGTCACGTCAGTATGGTTGTTTCACTGTTGCTTACAACACATCACAATACCTTGTGAGGTAATATGAAGTTTAATTTACCATTTTATTTTTACAAAAAATAAATGAAAAAATAAGTTCTGCAGTGTGCTTCTGACTGCAGTACAGTTAATGTATCTTACCTCTTCATTACATCAGAGATTCACATCTTTAATGTGATCTCACTTTTTAATCTCACTGAAAAAGAAAAGTCTTTATGTAGTCTTTATTTGTAAAATATGGAGACTTTAACCGCAAGAACATGAAGACAAAAATCATGTCGCAGTATTACTCTATCTAAAAGAGTTTTTGCTCAGTACAACATCATAATTTTAGATAGTGTAATTTTTTCCTGTTAAACCTGACAGAACACTGAGTTACTTTGTGAAGGTCTCACCTACAGTTTGCCAGTTCTAGCAGCAAATTGCCTGACACCATGGAAACCAAAACAGTTCTAACCTCTACTAGAACTAACATGTCAGTGTGTTATTATCTCTCTGAGTAACTGCAACCAGTGGGTGGCAATTTTGAATAGAACAGGCATTTTAATTATGAAATAAATACATAAATTTTGGATTGAACTGTTATTCCCTGTTGGTTTTCAGGTAATGGTATAAAAATTTTCATTGGCACACGTCGTCGGGGCCACTAAAGAAAAGAATTAATATACTGTATATATATCTAGGTTGTGGCTTGCTTATTTTAAAACCTTCAGATACAGTATAACTAAAGCTGTGGTAGTGCAATACTATCTTCAACACAGTAAAACCAACAGATATGACTTGTTCTTATTTTGCTGTTTTTTATGTGACTTTATGTGTCAGTTTCTGGTTAAGTACTGGTACCTTCTGTATATGCAATTCTTCTTCTCTGCCATAAAACGCAGCTACAAACATGTATTCTGGCACCTACTTATGCATCGTGACTCACTCAGTCCTTTCTGTCATTTGTACAGAGTACAAATGCATTTCTCTGACATCTACAGAGCTAGCTATTATTGAATTTTAACAATCTATTAGGTTTTTTAAGCTTTTATTTAAAAAAAAATTGTATTATTTCACAATGGGAAAATACTGTAGGTCTGCCATGTGCATTGTATGCATAAACATTTCTTCATTTTATTTTTTGAAAACTTGCAGCAAATTGTCAAACATGACAATTGATCCTAGGCACTAGTGCTAAATTATTCCTGATATGATTTATTTGTCCTAGTTGCTTATACTGTAACTGTCTAGACAATGATTACAGCTGCAGTAGCACTGTGTTCTGTTGAACACCAGTTAGGTCCTCTGAGCTGACACAGCACAGCTGCAGCACGCAGGCATGAGCTCATTCTCATATTGGTGTCTTTGATTGTGTTCTGGAATGCAATTTCATCTTGCTTCTAAACCTCAGCTTTGCTTCCTGCTAGCTGCTGTACAGTAACATGTAACCCACTTTACAAACACTCCATGCACATGTGGTAATATACTGTAGATCTCTAAAACCATTGAAGTTCTCCTTTTAGTAACCATATGATATTAATGCACCACAAAAGGCATTTCGCTCATTGTTGTGTATTTTATACATCAGATATATGCTAGCATGCCAGGTATTATAAATAAGACTGTAAGCCTGAAAGTATTGTTTTACAGATGGTAAGCTTCATTGCACCTTTGCTAGTATTTAGAGTGAATATAAAGGTGCTTTTCCTTGATAACATCAGCTGTGACTGAACAATTAGCATAAAGAATTCAGAATTGGTTGCTGAAACAATTACAGAATGAGTGTAGTTCTTTTCACAACCCTGTTCTCCTCTAGTGTCTTATAGCGGCTTTGTGCAGACAGACTGCTCAGTTCAGGAGGCATTTTTTAAACAGTGTGTTGGCAGAAGATAGTATGTGCTAGTTTTTCCTTCCAGGCCATTTGTTATCGCTTAGCTTAACTTGATGCTAATGTGATCTGTCAGACTGCAGAAGCAACATTGCTTGCTTCACTGAAGTTAGCTGTCCAGTGTTTGCCCTCCTAAAATCACAAGAAAGGATAACAACTTCAACAGGCGAAGAATGTTGTGTGTGACTTTTCTTAAAGAAAAAACAGGCCCTCAGGTGGAGATAATTGTCCTCACCTGTCCTGATGGTTTTTCTTTGTGTTTTGCCATGGTTTAACAGCACATACTGTATATCACTGACTGAACAGGAGTTCATACTATCAGTATTATTTACACTAGGCGGTTTAATTGGAGCAATGTCGAAGGTTTAGCCAGTTATGCACAAATTGGGTTTGACTATTTGCATGCAACAGCAGTTACAAGAACAACCAACTTTGCATTTGTATAGTGCTTTTGTTTACTTTACATTGACCATGGGACCAACTTTTTCCACCACCTACGGGTCAGCCCTACAAAGCAGGGGTGGTGCGGTGGCTCTGTGGCTATGGATCTGCGCCTGTGGCTTAACCCCAACTGCACCAGGGGCGCCGTATAAATGGCTGACCATGTGCTCTGACCCCAGGCTGCTCTCCCTGTCTGTGTGTCTGATGAAGAGCAAGTTGGGGTATGCGAAAAGACAAATTCCTACTACAAGAAATTGTATATGGCCAATAAAGTGATCTTATCTTATCTGAAGCAAGCTAAGCACAGAAGTGAGAAGTTATTTCACCAATTGAAGTAAGGGGAAAGATTAGGGAAGCCACATTTTAAAAGCCAAGAATGGAATTTAACCAGGACATCAGGGTTAAAACCGCTTACTCTCACTAAAAGGGTCATGAGATCTTTAACCAAGATCAAGTGTTATGTTTGGATTTGAAAATGTTTTATTAACACAGTCTCTGTATTTTAGAGCACACAGAAGATAGATATATCAGTTCATGCAAAATGGAGCACTGTTGCTATGGAAAAGCACAGAAGAAATCCAAATCTGATATTTATAATAATTATAATTGCTTACACTTATATAGTGCTTTTCTGGACACTCCACTCAAAGCGATTTACAGGTAATGGGGACTCCCCTCAGCCACCACCAATGTGCATTTTAAATATTCCTTCATATTTAAAATGAAGGAAGCTAAAAACTATTGAAAATTTGAACTTTAAGTTGAGTTTTTAAATAACATGTAACAAAAAGTTTTTGTTTCAGATGTATTCCATTCTTTTAGCTAACACAAAGAAGAGCTTTCTGAACGTCTTACTAAAAAACACCCAAGTTAAAACTAATTCACTCAACACTCTTTAAATGGATTTCAAAGGCATGATAATACTGTGATATACAGTACTGTTAAAATATGCTGTTCAGATTTCAAAGAAATAATATCTTTTAAAAGCAAAGAACTGGTATTAGTTGCACCTGTGAGGTCTGTTCCACTCTTGTTCCTCCAGTGCCCAAAGAGTGCTTGTTCAGTTACACAGAGAGATGGTACACACAGTTACACATAGATGATGAAGACAAAGATCCTCCAGCGCAAGATCTAATACATCTCAGCATGTTACATCTTGGAAAAACTTCCAAAATAAAAGAAAGCTAAATGAAAACCTACTCCTAGT